GTGTGTGTGTGTGTGTGTGTGTGTGTGTGTGTGTGTGTGTGTGTGTGTGTGTGTGTGTGTGTGTGTGTGTGTGTGTGTGTGCGCGTGCGTGCGTACGTGCGTGCGTGCGTGCGGGCGTGCGTGTGTGTCTGTGTGTGTTTGTGTATGGATAGGTGGATGTGTGGGCGTGTGGGTGTGTGTGGGGCGAATCTTTTTAGGTCAAAGTAAATATTTTTTTCATGATAATATCCCTACTTCCTTACTTATATTATTATTATAAAAGTGAAAATGAATTATTTTGTTCTTTACATTTTAGAGTCTTAACGGCTTAAACAATCATTATAAAATTGGGAATACTATATGACATATAGAAAGATAATTTTCATCTCGGTCAGATATGTTACGGCCAGACGAACGAAGTTGCCAATAAAAGTACCTATATAAGATAAAAAAAAAAAAATAAAAAAAAAGATATCAATCTGATGCTAATATTTTTCAGACAAACTGAAAATATTGTTGCCACTTTCTAGAATTATTCATGTAAATTGTCTAAACGTTTTGATGGAACGACAACACTGTATAAAGGCCGCGTGATGAAAAAAAAAAGTCCACAATGTTTCACTTTTAATACCACACCACCGCGTTTTTGTGGCTACGAGAAATGTGTTGGTCATAACATTTTCTATTTAATAGGAACGCTTTCATTACCGGTCAAATTCCATATTGTCATTACAGTCTGGCCAGAAGAATTAGATGCCATTATTAAGACGTGTAGCAAGTTTAGTTTGTCTGAGTTTAGCTTTTTTGATGGGTGATAATAGAATGGTAACCCCGCCTGCGCTAACGGGATACACCGGCGGAGCACCAGTGAGCCCATCATGATGAATTAACCATGATAGTTTCTAGGGGAAACCGCGAGGAGGTCGACCTGGTTGGGTATATTGCTAGCAATGGGATTCTTAGTCTCCATTACTAACAATCCCTTTCCCCCCGACTTTAGCTTGTTATGAACTACATAGATGTTTCATAGAACGAGAATACTAAACCTTAATCTATAAAATGGTTGTATAAATTTATAAAAAACTATATGCAGATGTATTGCCGTGTGGTCCCAGCATAAAATAGGCCACCATTCCATTCCCGTGCGTGTGGAACTTTATGGCCGAGAGACACTGCGTCACTCTTAAAATATCACTAAAAGCCTAACTGCGGTTGCCAACCACAACCCCCAATGGCAAATATCAGAAGGAAATGCCTCCCAGCCCTTTGACTAGGGAAGTTCCTTATGTTAACGATGATGTACAGTTGTACTCAAATTTTGAAATGTTGAAAAAAGAATACGGATCTATACTATTGTTTTTTTCGTTTCTGGTTTTTAACTATATTATTTAGATATAAGTATAGTTATATAGTATATAGTCATAGTATGTTTTTTTTATTAAGATTTACTTTCAAACTCAGTATTAGGGATTTCATAAAGTATAATCTTCTATCTTCTACTTAAATACGTGTCTTTTGGTCAGGATATACCTGAACAAGATAAAAGCCCTTAAAGTAAAAAAAAAAAAAAAACTTTTGGTCAAATAATCTCAAATGTAGATAAGAATAATATAATCGCTTGAGCATGAAATTTTTTTAATGACACATTTATTTACATAATTCGCAACGCATGTACCTGTCATGTAAAATGTCATAAAAAGTGGATTTTACCTAGAATTACATGTGTACAGACTTCAGTTATAATTTAAGTGTTTTATTTCTTTCCAATCGTCCGTTTCAATGTCGTGTGGTCCCGCCGTAGTATAGGCCCCTCTTTTCTCGTGGGTGTCGTAAGAGGTGATTAAGGTAGGGCAAGGAATGGGCAGCTTAAACTTGAAGCATCTTTAAAGCCTACCTGCAGTTGCCAATCCGCTTGCCAAATTTGGCAACTACCGGCAAAACCCTCTCAAGGGGAAGACTTATGTTCAGCAGTGGAGAATTAAAGGCTGATATGAACGTGATGATGATAATTACCTTCCAAACCAGATCACAAATTTATAGATCGCTTACCTAATGTTCCATAATATTCTTAAAGGTATCGAAGTTAAGAAAACAAAATTTTGAGAAGTGACCTATTGATGGGTTGTGGATGCTTGTGAATTGTTTCTACGCTACTATGCGAAAGCGGTGCACATCTCTGATGCGTAGGGTCCGGGACAGCTCTAACGCTATTCTAAGGGTATAGTATGTATGTTTTTTTTTGATGGGTGAAAATGGTATGGTAATCCCGCCTGCGCTAACGTGTGATAGATGAGAATGAAAACAGGCCAGTTAGCCCATCATGATGAATTCAACAGGAATTAACGATGATAGTTTCCAGAGGGAACCGCGAGGAGGTCGACCAGGTTGGGTATATTGCTAGCAATGGGATTCTCAGTCTCCATTACTAACAATCCCTTTCCCCCTATAGTATGTATGTAGGGTAGGGTATTTGCGGACCGTCCAGACTGCCAGTATTCGAATCGTTGCAGAATGATTCACATGCTGGCTAACATACAAAAAAAGTAGGTTAAGTTAATGTTATTTATTTAGAAGCGTAAAAATTTAATTTAATAATTTATATTAGATACAAATTAATATTGTTAAAATTTTATGGGCCCTGGTTGCCTTTATTAAAGGATTTATTTATTTATTTATTTATTATTATTGACCCATTTTTGACACTCAATGTCTATATCCTATCCCTGAAGTAGAAATAGGCTTTTCGATATAAAGGAAAACCTTTTTCATCATCATCATCATGATGACGTTAACTGTCCACTATTGAATGTAAACCTCTCTCTTGTAGGATTTTGCCAATAGTGGACACGCTTGGCAAACTGAGTGCCAACCGCAGCTAGGCTTTGGTAATGTTTTAATAGGGACGCTACTGCCCATCCCTCGTCTTTTAAATTCCCTTAATTGCCTCTTACGACACTCGCAGAAAAAGAATGGTTGACCCATTCTATGCCGGGACCACATGGCAAAACTTTTTACTTTGATATAACTATTAATTGCCTATGCAAGCAACTACGAAACTGTATCCCAATAAAAAGCAACTAAATTTTTCCTCAAACACAACAGCCTAAGTCAGTGGTTTTTAAAGTGTGGGTAGCGAGGTCTTGGGGGGTGGTCACCATTTGTACTAAAGGGTCGTGGAGGGTCACGAAGCCGTAAAAATTAAAAAATAAATTATATTCCTTCAAGGACATTTAATATATATAGGCTAACATAAATTAACATTTAAAATTTATATATTTTTAATAGGTAAAAATGGAATGGTAACCCCGTTGCACTATTGGTAACATTGGCGGGGTCCAGTGAGACATGATAAGTGAAAATGAAAACATACCAGTCAGCCCATCGTGACGAATACCACAAGAATTAACTACGGTGGTTTCCAGGGGGCACCGCGTGGGGTCGACCTGTTAGGTCGGATTTTCATTACTAACGATCCCTTCACCCCTGACAAAATGTATAATAACATACCCGTAATCTATGTTTGAGAACTTTATTATACATATTTATTCATTTTATTGTACTTAATCGATACCTAATTACAAAAATAAAATTGTACGGATTTTTATATTTGTAATTGTTCAAAATTAACCTTTTTATATACTTTGACAATTATAGTTTTTTATAAAAAAGAATATTTAAAAACAATTGTAAATAGAACAAAAAAATACATAATATACCTCAAGTCAACAGACAGTAATTTTATTTTACAATTAATATAGATAATACCTATATACAACAAGAACCAGCATATATTACAAACATAATATATCAAAATACATAAAGGGTAAGGAATCGCAGTGGGTAAGTAAATAAACATATTCGCAAAATATGTTTACTCACTAAGGGAGTCATATTACGAAAAAGTTTGAAAAACACTGACCTAAATGTTTGCATACAGTAGGTACTGTTTCAAACAACGCCTTATCGAATTACCTTCCACAAAGGCCCAAGGTGTGGAATGAGCGGTTTGCCTAAAATATCCTTAGAAACTATAGCACATTTTCAGGATCAGCACGCACGCCGCGCACGTAACCACCCTGGTATTTTAGTCGTCTTTACACTATAGTAATCGTTAACCATCAGGCGGGACTTAAGCTTATTTATCTATGACTTTTTAGTCTGAATCGATCAATTGTTAAAAATAACTATATCAAATTATGTTGTATATCTTCATCTTTTTATTACTATATATATATATATATATATATATATATATATATATATATATATATATACCGCTTGCGCTATCGGTATACGCTAGCGGGGCACCAGTGAGCGATGAAAGATGACGATGAAAGCAGGTCAGTTGGCCCACCATGATGAATTCGACAAGAATTAACCATGATGGTTTCCAGGGGGAACCGCGTGGAGGTCGACCTGAGAGCAATGGTGCTATTAGCCCTTATTACTAACAATCCCTTTCCCCCCAATTATTACTATATAATTCATTCATTTATTTTTAAATAATACAGACCGTACAAAAAAATTGTTTAATGTACCCAAAATAGGAAATATATTACAATAGATAGGTTTCATTTAAAAAAACTGACAAGCAATATGGGAGTGGATCACATCATTAATCATTTACTTTCAAACCTAATCCGTTTAATTAAGTACGCGCACACTTCGTTCTTTATAATTAAATCGTTATGAGAGAACTTTAATCAACTACCTATATTTAGAGAAAGAAGTGTTATGATAAATTCGCGATGTATTATAGCACAACATTAATGATAGACATTATAATATAATTGTACGGTGTTACGCCAAGCATATCATTTGAATACCTACTCGATATTAATCACTTTCACTCACGACTGATTGTAAACAAACTGCATAGGTCTTTGGTCATAGACAAAAAATAGTCAGGAGCACAATTGTGATTCTAATTCTAATTTGAAAAAAGAATATTTAAACAAAATAAAAGTAATGAAAACTTCTTGATGGCATATGTAGGTAATTAAAAAAAAAATATCACTTACATTATCAGAGATGCTGCTCTTCACATCTTGAGGACACAATTTCAGCCCAGTATCTTGCTTCGGACTTGTTAGCGGCGTTCTAGTGGTGTATCTATTAGAAAGCCTCCTTGCAAAATTACTTTTGAAGTCCTCACATCTCATTATGGACTCGACTGGCCTAGCAAATTCTTCATCGAGATTTGCCGGCAGCGACTCGTACGTTTGCATAAACATTATAATTTTAAATTTGAATTTGGAAACATTATAAAACGCATAAGTCCATTGGCGTTCGATTTTTTAAAAAATCGAATTCATCGGCAATATTGCGCGCGCGTATCGTGACGTATCAGACGGCCGTTAACGGCAAAGGTGGCTGTCGTACTGTCGGATTCTAACACCTGTCATCTAGCGAGTTATTACATCGTCGTTTGACCATTATTTATCAATAAAACTTAAATCTATTCTAACAATTAATAATAAACAATTTTTTTTCATTAATTTATTATAAAAATAAAGTGATTAATTTTTTTTATGTTGGACGTCAACAGATGATCTTTATAGGACGCCCAAATAAAATGTTTGTAAATTCAAACTTAGAACGTAATAGCGCCATCTAGTAGGTACACTTGGCTTTTTTAATGTGAAAGATCTATATGTGTAAAGTGGGTTCGCACTTCTTGACTACTAAGTCAAATGTTTATAGCATACTAAATTATTTTTTGTAAAACGAAATATGTATAGATGTCTCTGATATCTTACCTATAAATATATAGATAAGTTATTAAAGAAGTAACTATAATATCTTTAAATAATAAAGTTAATGTATCTATCAGCAGCACTTTTGTTTAGTACTTTTCTTTAACACCCTTTCAAATCTATCGTCCTCTAAAATTTCTCAGTCCTAGCCCACCAACTATACGGTTTATTAGAAAATCCAGGGTTGTGCACATTCTATGAATATTCTAATATAAAAGCAAAAAAAAACATAGATTAAGAATCATCATCATTATCATCATATCAGCCATTATCTACCTCTGAAGATAGGCTTCCCTCATACCTGAACCACCTGCATCTATTGACTTCCTGCAATGCATTTGAGGTCGCCACTCCATACAGTGAAGGGTCGTCCTATACCTACTGCATTTGCCGTACGGGGTCACCATTCAAGAACCTGTCTTTGCTATCAATTGCCGGTTCTTCAAGGTATGTGACCAGCCCATTGCCACTTCAGCTTGCTTGCCCTAATGTCCTCATTTCGGATTCTGTCATGCAAAAAACTCCGTGCATAATCTTCTCCATAATTCGCTGAGTAATTTGAAGCTTTTGCATATGAGCAACCGTGTACTCGTAAAACCATGTTTCGGTTTTATAGATCATAACTGGTAACAAACACTGGTTAGAGACTTTCGCCTTTAAACTTTAAGGTATTTTGGATAAATTTGGTAAATTAAGAACCTACCTAGGTTATGTTTACAATTTATTAAATTACAGTACTCGACTCTCTGTGGCATTTTTTTTATGGGTGAAAATGGAATGGTAACCCTGCTGGTAAGCCTGCGCTAACGGGATATGCTGGCGGTACTGGCGGAGCACCAATGAAGAGTGATCGATGAGAATAAAAACAGGCCAGTTAGCCCATCATGACGAATTCACAAGGAATTAACCATGATAGGTCGACCTGGCTAGGTATATTGCTAGAAATGGGATTTTCAGTCTCCATTACTAACAATACCCTCCTCTCTCTGACATTAAATAACGATGTAGGATTAAAATACGTTTCAATTAAAGAAGAGGGCATTGTTAGTGATGCAGGGTAAACTAGTAGCACAGGCGAAGTTATCATTCCATTTTCATCCCTTAAAAACAAGTAACTTCTTTATTTTTCAGATTTCCGATCCGTAAACCCTTTCCTTTGTGTTTATTTATTATTTATTTATTCATTATTACATATATGTGTACATGGCGGACTTAATGCTAAAAGCATTCACTCCCAGTCAACCATAGGGAAGTGTCAGAATACTCGAATTAATTAAATGTACTAAAGTACGTAACGTGATACTAGTAATTATTGATATATGTACATACATACTGAAATTTATATATATATATATATATATATATATATATATATATATATATATAAACAAATAAATATATGTATATAACAAATCTATTTACACTAATATAAGATATATATTATACACAAAAATTAAAATAACATATAGTACTTACTGCTCGGATAAAGTTTAAAAGTAAACATAAATATTTTTTTTTTGAAAGACGGTTTCTCCAAAGTCTTTTTCTTAATGGTATCAGGAAGCGCGTTTCAGAGCCGGGAAGAATGTAAGATAAAAGAATTTGAAAGAAAACCAAAGGGCCTACCATGAAATTTCGGAGCCAAACGAAACAGAAATTTGATGTTAAAATTACATAATACATGCCGTTTGGAAATATTAAAAATGTTAAAATATTGTTCCTTTGGAATTTTATGACACTTATGTTAAACTCCATTTATTGGTCCGATTTTGGTATAAACAAAAACACGAAATTGAATCCGAAATTTCGGAATTTCATTTTCTGGTAGACCCGCAGTATGGTGAGAGAGGATAAATAGTTGAAGAGTATTATAGGAACGTAGGTGTTAACCATGAGTTTGAAAAAGGTACTGTTTAATATGTAATATAAACTTTTTCATTAAAAGATATCCTCTTTTCTCCGATTAGATTATATTGCCTAAACTTTTTTTTTATTTAAATGTCAAATGACATTTGATCTGCTACATGTTGAGAGTTTACAAAATTTTCTTTTTAATAATTAAAATGCTTTATCAGTGATATTATGCACATAATATATTGTATATTTACATTTACAAAATAAAAATACCAACAAACTCATGTTTTTTTATACAACATGATTGAAAGAAATAATAGTCATTGTGGTATGTACCTATAGATAAACTTATTGTAAATGTAAAATTATTGTAAACGAATTACAATACTTTTTTGTCTCTAGAAATAAATATTTTATACCGAAATGTCCACTGACTTGATCGAGTACAATAGACACGAATATAAATAGATGGCGCAACTGTACATTTTAAAATTGGGTATTTAGGTTTGTGGGGCGCAATTATTATATAGGTAGATATTTGAATTCGTGTATAATACAGGAAAACAATACACAGTGACCGGCTTGTTTTGTATATTTTTCTTTATATTACATACAAGTTTTGCTCGTGGCTTGATCCGAATTACCGGAATACGTTTTTTTTTTTTTATACAACTTAGAATGGCAAACAAGTTGACGGCCTAATTGATGCAAAGTGGTAATCGTCGCCTATAGACATGAGCAGTACCATGGTCATAACAGAGTATACTGTTTCGCCCGTAATACCCCCCATGCGTTGCCATTCCTGAGGACTCAGGTGTTATTCCTCTGTACCCAGTAAATTCACGCCATATCCCACCCTCCAGAGCGAAACACAGCCATGCAAACACAACTGCTTCACGGTTGAAACACGAATGGGACAGAGGTACCCAAGCAATCGACTTTTGTACAAAATCTCCCTCTGGTAATAATATAATCAGACGCATCTCTTTCATTTTAGATCTATCGGCCTTTACCGTTCCACCCCCAATTCTGTTAACTGTTAAAGCATTAAGATATCTGAGAAAAGTAATTTACTAATCGGTAAGCACATCTTATCTTCTACTACTACAAAAAATGAGTAATTAACTGGTACATTTATTTAATTATGATTTTTTTTTATTTTTATTTTATGGCGTTTCATCATCCCAGTAACAATTTTTATTCCTTACTCGTCCGGTAGAAGTTATTTGTTTTATTATTCATTCTTGATCCTCCTAGTATTTTGAATTACTTGTACGTATAATTTAATAACATAATTGTTGCTTTAGGATGAGTAAAGAAAAGTTTTGGTTATGTTAAAAACCTAATTATTTTCAACTTTTATTGCTATATATAAATCACCACCGGGCTGTAAACGTCATCTGTTAATCATTTTGATGACCTAAAATTACTAAAGATCATTCCTACTACTGGAGATGGCGACAAATAAAGTCGCTTCCACATGTATAATAATACTAGTTTTTAACCGCGTCTTCGTCTGTGTAACGCGATAAAAAATAGTATGTCCTTCTCCATCTCAAATAGAATTTCGTGATTATTGGGTAATAAACAAACAAACCTACTTTCTCATGCTACTGCCCGTCCCTTGACTACTAAGTTGTAGTTGCCTCTTACGACACCCATGGGAAAGGAAGGAGTGGACTATTCTATGTCGAACCACACGGCAATTAATATTACTAATACTTATTAATAGTAACATTGTATTTATGTCTATTAATAACATTGTGTATTATATATAATATATATCTGTCTATTTATATGTATTTACTTATATATATTTTTATTTATTTATACCTATTGGTCTTTTCAATTGTAAAGACATTTTATTTATTTATTTTTAATTACAACATTTAAGTCGATTCGTACACATGTATGACTGTAACTACTAATGAACTGTCAGTTTTCTCATATTGGGTTTGCTGGAAGAAATCTCTATTGGAGATAAGCTCGCCTTTGTGCACTATTATGTTTGTTTTTACATTTTAATAACCTTTGTGTACAATAAAGAATAACATTTTGAATTTTACAGCGATGATGCGAAATGGCCCCCAAACTTTCCCCTAAGCCTGCAATCTGCAAGGAATTCGACTCAGTCGACTCAGTCGAAATTGTCTTCATTACTGTCGCCTTCACATAACTTTTGATCGTGCTGACACAGACCTGCAAGATTATCGCCTCGGGGTTCACGAACATAATACTGTGATGTCGCAGACCAAGGAAGTAGATAATAAGGGGGAGTTCTCGTAAGATTAAATATTTTATTAAACAACTTAAAACGGTAAATATGTTGATAGGTCGCCTGATGGAAAGTGGAAATTGTCGCCTATGAATATGAACTGCATCGTGGATATCACAAAATACACTGTGATGGACATCATCGGTATCATAACAGCTGTTAACTGTCCACTGCTGTACATAAGGGGAATTCTGTCAATAATTGCCTCGCTTGGCAGGTAGATGGGCAAGTTAGGATTTGTTGATGTATTAGGACATTGCCTTCCATCCCTCGACTTTTAAGATCGAATCGATCGAAGACGGGAAAGGAAGCGGTGGTCCATTCTATGCCGGGGCCGCACGGCCGTCATGGTACCTCGTAATATGCTGCCATTCGTATAAACTACGTCGTTTCTTTTAATGCATACTTATAAAATGGTAACCCCTCCTGCGCTATTGGTATATACTGGCGGGACACCAGAGAGAGAGATATATGATAGATGAGGATAAAAGCAGGTCAGTTAGCCAATCATGACGAGTTCCACAAGGAATAACAATGGTAATTTTCAGGGAGAAACCCGTGGAGGTCGAACTGATAGGGCATCGTGCTAGCAATGAGGCTGTTAGACCCCATCACTAACAATCCTTTTCCTCGGTCTATGCGTGTTATGATGCCCCAGGTCATCCTGTAATTTTTATTCAGAGTATCACTCTGGAATTTATTTTAATATTATATTAATGCTTGCAATCGATATGAAGCCTTCAGCTACCTTTCACAATAACGTCACTCGCAATCGGCATAAAATCTATCTTCATACCTAAAATCAGAATAGTTACGCACAGTTTCTCCTGCGAACACTCAGGTTATGGAATGGTTCTCCTGCCGAGGCTTTTCCTAGAGACTACAGCATGGGGTTCTTCAAAAAGGCGGTAAAGCGCGCGTGGCGACCCTGGCGTTACAGGCGCTATATAGGTGACGGTAATTTACCATCAGACGGGCCATATGCTTGTTTACCACCATAACAGTATAAAAAATAATCGTAGAATAATTTTACAACTTATCCGCTCTTTAGTTTTTTTTTTTTGTTCTTGATATTTTTATGAATGTAAATAGAACTGTAACAATGCCTACACTATAGGCGGAATTGAAGGGATTTGACTCGCCTCTCGGATGTCTGGCTGTTCAGACTTGTCAACCTTAACCTCTGTACGATTTTTATTTAAATAATTCCATTTAATTCGCTCGAAAAACAGTAATTGAAGTACTAGGAACACAGAAACAGTAAGGAGATTATAGTCGAAAGTGAGACAAGGACATCCCTTTGTGTGAGTGAAACAATTACATTTTTTTACGTTCTAATTACTATACACGTTCGTCGCAATAATAACAACTAACCTATAACTTGCGATTGGACAATTGCATATCAGTGCATGAGGCATGAGGCGGAGCTAATTAAACACAAGTCCATCGTACCTACGCGCGCATTTTACCCTGCCACCTAAGTCTGGTAGCTGGTACGCTTATGGTTTATTTAGGGTTTACGCGTAGAAAGAACAATATTTTGTCGCATTGTACGTATTTACTTTGGATTTCATAACTCACATAATATTAACTAACGTTTACCAGCTAACAAACAAAATAGCTTTTACGCTCCATTCCAAATTTAAACTATCCCAAAAATATTGAAATGATATATTATTGTAATAATAATTGTCACCCTTCACTGGTGCTCAACCAGCGTATCCCGTTAGCGCAGGCGGGATTACCATACCATTTTCACTCATCAAAAAAAAAAATATATTACTGAGAGACAACTAGTTCCTATTACTAACAGTCTCCTCTTGTCCATCTCCTCACCTCCCCGCCCCCCTCGGACCCTATCTGTACTTAGCTTAACTTAAACTGCGGGTTTAAGTCAATTACCCTAACGTAACGTTAACGGTTATTATCCACCACCGCAACGCCATAGCGTAACATTTGTCATTACTTTTTCTATGGTGAAGAATGATGAAACAATATCTACTATTAGTAATGGCGACATTTTAACCGACTTCAAAAAAGTAGGAGGTTCTATGTTATGTATATATTTTCTTATGTATGCCCACCGATTTCTCAGTCAACTGTTATCTTGTCCATTCACTTTACTTCTAGTATACGAGTAAATACGCAAATTCATAAAAATCTTTGAATGTATGAATGTTTGTTACAGTATCACGCAAATACTACATAAAGAATTTGAATTTATTTTAATATACAAGATATGTTTTTTTTTTTTCATGGATGACAATGAAGTGGTAACCCCGTCTTCGCTAATGATACGCAAGGCAAGGTATCTAGAAATATAATTGAATGTTATGTTATGTAATATAATTGTTGTTATCTCTCAAAATATTTAATTTACATTTTTTTTTAATCTACGCACTGCTGTTTACTCTCTCTCTCTCTGTTTAGCGTAACGGTTGCTGGTAGAGAATGCCATCAGGCATTAAGTCCGCCCTGTAGACATATTTTAATGTGTGCAAATGTATAAATAAATAAATAAACGTTAGGGACTTACGGAATGTCTCGTCGTTTCCCGGAGTGCGTGTGCTTACGATTTAAGTCATTTATTTTTGCAGAGCGTCGAACCGAAATTCGACCCGGGGACCTAATTACGCAAAGTAGCGTGCCTACCACTGCGCCACAGAGGTCATCAAATTATGTAAAACTAATAGAGCGTGACTCGACCCCTGCCACAGTTACAATATTTTTTTAATGGGTAATACCTAGTGGAATGGATACCACGCATGCGCTATCGATATACACCGGAGATGTACACATACCTAAATGGTCGCGTACGGGGGACAAGGATTGTTATCAATGGAGTTTGACAGCCCCATTGCTAGCAATATGCCCTATTAGGTCGACCTCCACGTGGTTCCCCCTGGAAACCATAGTGAACAATTCTTGTTGAATTCGTCACGATGGGGTAACTGACCTACTTCATCCTCACCTATCATCCTTAACTGGTGCACCGCCGGTGTATACCGATAGCGCGGGTGGGGTTACCATTTACCATCCATTTACCAGTTACCATTCCATTATTACCTATTAAAAAAAAAATGGTCGCGTACAACGCGGTTTCAGAGATGTTTTCTCCCACGAACGAACGTGGAATCTTCATCATCATCATATCAGCTGCTGCATATAGGTCTTCCCTTGAGGGGTTTTGCCGGTAGTTGCCACGCTTGGCAGGTGGGTTGACGACCGCAGTTAGAATTTAGTGATGTTATGAGAGGGACGCTGCTGTCCATTTCTCGACTATTAGGTGTCCTTAGTTGCCGACACTCACGGAAAAAGAAGGGGTGGCCTCTTCTATGCCGGGATCACAGGTTTGGTTATAGTTAGAACGATGGCATATGGCATAGTAATTATAACGTACGGTGGATACAAACACAGCAACATTGAGAAGTACCATGGTCGTCCCAGTATATTCTGTGATATCTATTGTACTGTATGGACAGTGTCTATAGGTGACGGTTATCACTTTATAATGTGACTCAATTATTTAATGCCAATTTGTAGCATAGCCACATAAAAGGATTAGATAATTAAATCTTGTGTTCCTGGTGTAACCTTCTATTGCATTTATAGAAATACACGGTTTTACAGAATTAGTCGGCATATATGTTAGCTTCTCGACTGTATGACAACAACCAAACATAGAGTGGTAATTAAAATATAGAATCTAGCCAGTGTTGACACTTAGCAACTGTCAACATGACAGTTGCGTTCAGTAATTTAATGATTATGTGCAAGTATTGTACACAATTGTTTGTCATTTATAATTTCCTCAAAAAATGCCTTCAGTTGTTATTAATAAACATTTAATAAAATAACCTATGTGATCGTAAACATATATTTTTTTATTATTATATCTATTCAGTTGAACAGTCCTCTAATGTCAAAAATCTGTAGCCACCTATGTTATAAATGGAAGTCTATCAAACGACGGCCTTCCGAAGAAGTAAGTAATTTTTTTTAATATATTACCTGCGAATGAACTATTTGAAGAAGTGGCAATGTTATGGCGGTAAGACAAAATTCCTTAAAAAAAAGACCTTCGAAATTTGAATCCTCATACTACGATCATGTGTCACAGTTTCCATTTATACTTACTAATATTATAAAGAGGAAATAGTTGATTGTTTGTAATGAATAAACATAATAACTACTCAATCACACACAATAGCACACCTGCAATGCCGCTGGTGTTGCGGGTGATCATGGGCGGCGGTAGTCACTTACCATCAGGTGAGACGCATGCTCGTTTGCCCCATCTGTTGTAAAAAAAAATCAATTTTAAAAATTCATTCACCTACAAAAAGCTACATTATTAGCAAGTAACATAGGCTATTGATTCTATCCATCCATGTGAATTTGGGCCGGAATACTGGTTATTAATAAACGGATAACCGCGAGCTTTATAGAGCCTTCCGATGGGCGTATAAATTATAGACTTTATATTAATTACGACGTCACTAACTTTTACCCGCGACTTCGTTCGAAAATAACCTACATCCTTCTACATCCCATATTACACATGTGTACTACAATTCATAGTGATTGCTTAAAAGACAACAAACAAACTCGCTATCACATTTATAACATTAGTAGGGATTGTAAATAGTGTTCCATTTTTAAAAAGTCCACCCCAAGTCCGAACTCTAATCTCTTATCACACCAGAACTCCTCATAAAGTCATGATGAGGTAATACAACAATTACAAATTACGAAAGGCGAGTTTTGAGCAAGATATTTGGTAACCGACTCCGACGCAATGATCGTACCAGTTTCGGTCCGTGAATGGGACTATATTCGTATTACGCCATCAGGCGTCGATCTGTAGTGTAGTTGGCTCTATTCGAGATGTAATATTTGGTCCGACCGAATTATGCTCAATCGGATATTGTACTATCAAAATTGTCATTGTATACAGTAAAATGTTTGGTCCCACGTTTTCTTAAAGAAGATTCTCAATTCGCTTGTAATGTTTATCTCTTTGTTACCTCATAACTCCGTCAGTTATAGTCTGATTTGGAAAATTGTTTCTTTTTTGTCTAAAAGGATATTAACTTACAGATTGGGATCATGAAAGTTTTATCAGAATCAGTTCAGTAGTTTAGATTTTAAATCAAAATAACTGGGTTTTAACACAATTGATGTCGGCTTTTTTTGTGAAACACAATCTTTAATTATTTTTGCAATGCAAGGAACGAATTGAGGCTAATCCAAATTTGCTTGTAGATACGATTCTTAGAGTTTCTCCATACAAATGCTTCGAGAAAAGCGGGTGAACTTTTTCATACAATTTTGCGCAATAGATAGTTATGAGTGTTTCCTTTATTAGTTCTATATTTATTTTGTTTTATAATTTTTGCATCTTTTTAATACGTAAAAACTCATTTTATTTATAAAATAATTAAACATAAATGTGTTGAGATACGTTGTGTGCATAAGTGTATAAAACATTAAAAAAAAAACGAGTCGGCTAATTTGACAATTAACTGACAAAAAGTTGACCCGTTTTTGAAACTCAACGCTCTATCTATATAATCTAAGATACGATTATACACATGTGATTTGGCATTCTAAATTCAAATTTGTTCATATTATTGTAATCTTTCAATTCACAGATGCGATTCCGTATTCTAAATTCAAATTTTTTCAATCCAATGTAACTGTAAACAATCGATTAATCGGTCCGATCATTGACAGTCTGCTGATTTTCAATAGTTAGTAGAAATAAAAAACCATTAATTGAATAAATATTTAGATTGGTTATTAATTACATTTAGACAGTGTTCCTATGATAATATCAACAAAATTTACTTACCTTTTCATTAAATTCTAATAAATTATAAATATCTAGGACTATTTTAAAATATCAGTCGGCGGCTATTTGTAGTTAACCGTCGAATTAGAATTTACAATTGAGTACTCTTAAAAATGTACTTGAAAATATTTTAAACTAAAACAATTTGATGTACCATCCGACAACTCTATTCGATCCATATCGTTGTGATATCCGGGTATCTATTGTAGTTGTACCGGTTGTAGTATCCGGTATTCTATTTCTTTAATAAATTTGTATTCTGTTAATGAATATCCTTTAATTTTACCTTTATATAATAAAAAAAATATATCATAAACATCAGACAGGCTGTATATAATATCTACCTACTGATAATGTGTTGCCTATCAAATATAAACATAAAATAATAATAAAATTGCAACTAGACGATGTCTGTACCTACATAGGATATATGTTATGTATGAAAAAATATGATGGGTCATTTTTACAATATCTGTTCGTCAGTCCATCTATATATTAATTTTAGCGTCACATAACTACACCAAATTGGATGCGGTTTTTACAGTTGTATATATAAAGGTTTAACTTAAAAAACGATAACGTACCTTTAAAATTTACGTGTACTAAGTTTTAGGCAAAAACTAGTTTTTTAATATGACATTTCCAAAATATATATATATATATATATATATATATATATATATATATATATATATATATATATATATATCAAATCAAGAAATATCAGTTCTCAATTTACCTACTGGTCTGAGAATTGAACCCGGAATCTCATTTACGCGAATTAGCGTCCATTATAAGCACGCAAATATGAACATAAATTTTTATTATTGAGTAATATATTTTGCGAGATTGCTTCAATTTGTTCTGGTATGTTATAATAATATTATAACTTAGTGACCTTGTATTCTTGACCTAATTATAAATGCGGCCGATAGTTTTATTCGTATAATACATTTATTTGAAAACCATCTTAAGAGCATTGAACTTTAGCTTATGGAAGTGCGACAACGTCTCAACTAAGGGGGAAGGAGTTGTTAATAAACCCTATCAGGTCGACATCCCAGTGGTCCCCCTAGAAACCATTGTGCTGAAGTCCAGGTGTATTCATCACGATGGGCTAACTGATCTGCCTTTTCATTGTCACCTATCATCCCTCACTGGTGCTCCGCCAGCGTATACCGTTAGTGCAGGCGGGGTTACCATTCTATTATCATCCGTTAATAAAAAATTGTCTCAAATATTTGTGATTTGTGATTTTTTAATTTCAATTTTAATTGATGATTTTTCCGATTGATTATTTAAAAATAACTCTGCTGGCGATCCAAAACAGTAACAGTGCAATAATATTCTCATAGTTGTAGTAGTTGTCACTAAAAATTTAATTTTGAAGGAAAAAATGTGTTTGAAAATGAAATTTAGTTCGCTAGAAGAGCACTTTTTAAATAATCAGAAATATTGAAAATATATATAAAGTTTGCCCTTATCACCTACAGAAAGAGGCCCAATAATACAATTATTAACAATATACATATTTTATTTTTGTTTATTTTAGACAACTTGGATGAACTAATATAAAACTGTACTATTGATAATATTCCCTATTAGGTTGACCTCCACGTGGTCTCCCCTGGAAACCATCGTGCTTAATCATTGTGGAATTCATCACAATAGGGCATCTGACCTGCTTCAGCATCATCCGTCATTCCTTACTAGTGACCCACCAATGCTTAACAATAGCGCAGGCGGAATCACCATATCATTAATATCCTTTAATGTTTGTTGGGGGGAAAGGGATTGTTAACAATGGAGTTTGACAGCCCCATTGCTAGCAATATGCCCTATTAGATCGACCTCCACGTGGTTCCCCCTGGAAACCATCGTGAACAATTCTTGCTGAATTCGTCACGATGTGCTAACTGACCTACTTCATCCTCACCTATCATCCTTCACTGGTGTCCCGCCGGTGTATACCGATAACACGCGTGGACACCGGTGGATACCAATTCCAATATCAGCCATTAAAAAAAATCCTTTAAAAACTAGCATACTATTATTCATTCAGTACCCTTGAACATTCTATAGTTTTCTTTCAGATTCTCAAAGGTTGACTGTAAGAGATACCTCTATGGGATAAGTCCGCCATTATATATTAAATCTTTTAATGCAACCTTTCCCAAAGTGGGCGATAACGTCTCCTTGTGGGCGCTGCAGGCCTAAACGGGGGCGATAAGAGACCCAGAAAAAAATGGGGGCGTTATGTAGAGACTTGGGGGGGTGATTTGTTGATCTTGAAGTAATAGTAGTTTTTAAGTAGATGAAAAAATGAGGGCGCAAAAAAATAATTTATTCTCAAACTGGGCAGTAGACAAAATAAGTTTGGGAACCCCAGTTTTAATGTGTCAAATATAAATTATGTACAATAAAGATTTTACAATACAATTCATTGTCAGATGTGAAGGAATACTTGGATGCCAAAGTTGCAGCCAGGGATGGTTCTGTCGCACCATATATAACGTCCCAGCCGTACTCTTAATCGCTGTGGGATTTATATTAATCCTGGTCATCGCTAAAAGAGCCTCCAAAATGATTCGCAGATGGAAACGTAGGCGCCGCTCCTGTCCCTGCCGATGAAATAGTAAGTTCAATCTGCACTACTTACTTATATATGTCCATTCATCATCATCATCATCATCATATTCATCATCATCATCATCATATTCATCATCATATCAGCCATTAACAGTCCACTGTTAAACATAGACCTCTCCTATATATTTACCATAAGCAACGTTCCCGACCGAAAGGGCTGGGTACAATTTCCTCCTGGTATTTGCCATTGGGTGTATTTCTAGTAGCTGCCACAGTTGGAGTTAAGAATCAGCATATCAGCTATTATTTGTCCATTGCTGAACATAGGCCATAAGGGTGGTTTTGCTAATAGTTGCCACGCTTGACAGGCAGGCCGGCAACCGCAATTTGACTTTGGCAATGTTAATAACTGACTTGTGGTATTTCTCTAATGTAATGGAGACTGAGAATCCCATTGCTAGCAATATACCCAACCAGGTCGACCTCCTCGCGGTTCCCCCTGGAAACTATCATGATTAATTCCTGATGAATTCACTAGGATGGGCTAACTGGCCTGTTTTCATCCTCATCTATCACCCTTCATTGATGCCCCGCCAGCGTATCCCGTTAGCGCAGGCGGGGTTACTATTCCGTTTTCATCCACCAAAAAAAAAGTAAGTACAAGGGGCAAACATACAGGGGCAAGCATACAGCTCATCTGGTGGTAAGTGTTTACCGCTGCCCATAAGCGTCCGCAACATATAATAGGTGGGATTATTTACAACGTTACCTCACTATCACTAACTGTCCTCATATATATTAATTATAAAGACTTAGATTATATAGATGGAGTGTCGCCATACAAATGCTTCGAGAAAAGCGGCTCAAAATTTCATACAATTTTGCGTGATAAATAATTATGAGTAATTACTTTATAATTTCTATATTTATTTTGTCTTTTAATTTTCAGACCTTTTCAATGCGCAAAAACTTTATTTATTAAATGAAATTATATTTATTAAATGAAATATAAATTACATCAATATACGTCGCGTGCGTAAATATATAAAACACTAATATAAATAAAAGCGAGTCAGCTAATTTGACTCTTAGTTGACATAAAATTGACTTGTTTTTAACCTCGATAGTCTGTCTATATAATCTAAGATATAGACACCTGAGTCCTCAGGAATGGCAACGCATGGGGGGTATTATGAGCGAAACAGTATACTCTGTTATGTCCATGATACCGATCATGTCTATAGGCGACGGTTACCACTTTCGATCAGGTGGGCCGTCAGCCTGTTTGCCATTCTAAGTTGTATAAAAAAAAAATATTCGAATTTTCTTTCTCATGTATCCTTTTATGTCACTTTTTACGTGTTATTGGCGAAAAAAGAGTAGTGATAAAATATTATATTCTTACTTCGTCATTAACAAATTTTCCTCACATTCATTTGTTTCAGTGTATCAACAAAAAAACAATGTAAACCACATGATTTATCCCGGCGTGGTGTGGGTTTATGAATATTGTCTCGTAATACTAATTCGCCTCACATTGCTCCTGCTTATAAGTGATAACATTAATTTAAATTAGTTTCAATAGTATAAAAAAACTTTTGCCGGTTACAATGTCTTTTAATTATTACATTATACTCTACAAAAACAGCGACATCTATCATAATAAAATGTATTAATGGTAAGATTTTTCACATTAAATTAAAAGTATTCGAATTTAGAAAGGTTTTTCATTTAATTAATTATTTTTCCCTACATCCGTACGTCTATTAGGTAGATCATCCATTATAATATATAAAATGTATATAGCCAACATAGAAGTGATTCTGATTGATAGCAATATAATTATGAAAATCGATTCTATTCTAAATTAGCGACGTAATCGCGTAACATCGCGTAATCTACAACAGAAAAAAAATTACAGTAATTATACAGCAATTTTTAATTTTCTAAAATGATTAATTTTTTTTATACAATTTAGAATGGCAAACAAGCTGACGGCCCACCTGATGGAAAGTGGTAACCGTCGCCTATAGACATGAGCAGTACCATGGACATAACAGAGTGCACTGTTTCGCCCATGATACCCCCCATGCGTTGCCATTCCTGAGGACTCAGGTGTTATTCCTCTGTACCCTGTAAATTCACGCCATATCCCACCCTTAAAACCGAAACACAGCCATGCAATCACAACTGCTTCACGGTAGAAACACGAATGAGACAGAGGTACCCAAGCAATCGACTTTTGTACAAAGTCTCCCTCTGGTACGATTAATACAATTATGCAAATGTGTGACAGTTTTTAATGTTAGTTCACCTTGCTCTAATTGTAGAACTCCATTCATAAAACGGTACATACCCATAGAACATGGCGGCCATAGCCTTTTTAGTGTGTATTATCATTTTTTAATTAGGGAAAAAGCCAGCATTTTTTGTGGTTGAAAAAAAAAGTTATTTATAAAAGTTAAAGACAATTACTTTGTGTATATTTTTCATTATAGTATCGCAGTTTAACACTGTACTAACCTTAGATTATTCAGTACGTAGTATGTATTACTACGTCTATGCGTTCAACGGATGCATCTAGATGGTGTAAGTCCTTTTTTTATGCAACTTAGAATGGCGAACAAGCTAACGGCCCACTTGATGGAAAATGGCAACCGTCGCCTAAAGACATGAGCAATACCATAGACATAACAGAGTATACTGTTTCGCCCATGATACCCGCCATGCGTTGCTATTCCTAAGGACTAAAGTGTTATGCCTCTGTACCACACAGCCATGCAAACAACTGCTCCACAGTAGAAACGCGAATGTGACAGATTAATCAAGTCAAAGATTAGGAAGCAATTAAGGACGTGGGCTGTCAGGGCGCTGTGATAGTAGTAGTAGCGCAGAGTAGTTTAACTCCTAGATTTAGGACAGTACTGCGGTCCTAATAGATATGACATGCATTAATAGTTAGAACAAGACAGCCTTATAAGCATAACACGAAAGTGTGAGCAAGATCGATAATATCTTTCTTCTATCTTTGCTTTGCGTACTTTCATTGTTTGAGAAGTCCACTTATTTGCCTATGAAAAGTAACTCAATAGTTATTATAGTTGAATAATTATTCGATTTAAAATTAATTTATATTGATTAAAAGTTATTTCTATTTTACATTATAATATTAAAAATGTAGTTATTTTTTTTATTATATGTCTATATAAAAAACAAACAATATTGTTATATTTACATTTATTGCGATCGAAATGTTTTACAAGGAAACCTAACATTTCATTAAAGATTTAATATTACAATTATAAAGTTAGTCATCAATTATTTTATTTAAAAAACAATGGTATTCCTATTAATTTTAATCATAGACAGATAAAAAACGAGTTTTTTCTATACGTAGCATTACGTTTATATTATCTGTTCAAATTAAATAGCCATACCACTATTAAATGTCGCGAATAAATAGGTACATTTTTCATTTGTCCGTTTGCTCAATGACGTTATTCTATAACTATTTCAAAACGCATACGCTTTATATTACCCGTTCAAATTAAATAGCTATGCCACTATTGTACGTCGCGAATAAGTATGTACATTGTTTATTTGTTGGTTTACTCGATGACGTCGCATATTACTATTTCATAATAACGCTTATAACAGTTCCATGGCATTCTCTTTCTATGAGTTATTCGTATTATCATTAAATTTACAGAAATGTCGTTATTTATTACAACTTACAACAAACATTAACTACCGTAGACGTGAGCTGACATAATAGTGACGTACCGATTTCCAAGATGACTTATGGCCCCAATACGCTTGCACTTTGTGAAATAACCTTGGCCCACTGGGTGCCGAGAGAATGGCTCTCAACTCGGACCGTTGTGCCTGTTTGGTGTCGTTGACTTACGTTATTCCGGTTTAAGATTGTTCAGTTCACAGTGTATATGCACATGCTGGGTTCGCTATTGTTTAAAAAAAGAATTTTTTTTTCTTTTCTTTTTTTATGATAGGCCAGTTTTCCCTATTTTTTTTTTTTTTGCATTATCTAATAATGTTAATTTTCTATAATAGTTTACTGAGTACTTTCGCTTTGGTAAACGCCAAATAAATATTATTCTATCTTTTCTTCTTTCTTTAATTAGATTAAAGTGTAACTTCCCAATTGGACAAAAAATTCCAAATTATTGACACAAAAAATAAAATCTAAACATATAAATAAATAAAAATGTAAAATAAATGCTGTTCTCAGATATGGGCATCATTGGGAAAGGGCTGAATCAATTTAAGTTTTTAAAATATTATAACGGTCTCATTAATTCTTTTTATATTGTTTTTTAATTTAATATTCTTACCTATTCTTACCATGTTTTGAATTCGACGCTATGTAGTAGGTATATACGAATATATTGTCCCCGGGGGGAAAGGGATTGTTAGTAATGGTGACTGAGAATCCTATTGCTAGCAATATACCCAACCAGGTCGACCTCCTCGCGGTTCTCCCTGGAAACTATCATGGTTAATTCCTGATGAATTCATCATGATGAGCTAACTGGCCTGTTTTCATTCTCATCAATCACCCTTCACCGGTGCTCCGCCAGCGTATCCCGTTAGCGCAGGCGGGGTTACCATACCATTTTCACCCATCAAAAAATATATTGTCCCATTAATTTTAAAGAAAAAAAACCAGAAATTTTAACAAAACAATGACTATTATGTCAGCTACACGGTTATAAATAATGTAACTAGTTGAAACAAACAATATTTTAGTATTCTGCAATAGTTATATGTCATTATATACTGCACAATAGCATTTCGTGTCAGCCCGGCCCCCTGCTTACATAACTTGCAGGCAGTTTACGATAGACGAAAAAATTTCTCGATAATTGCTTTTAATCCTCATTTTTTATATATAATTTTATTTATTACATGTTTGCAATTACATAGAAGCGATTTGGCAGTGATTAACTGTGTACAATGCATATTGCTAGCAATGGGACTGTCAAACTACGTTGTTAACAATCCCTTTCCCTCCTATTTCTTGCCGTGTTTTTTTATGAATGATAATGAAATGGTAACCCCACCTGCGCTAACGGTATACGCTGGCGGGGCACCAGTGAGGGATGATAGGTGAGGATGAAAAGGCAGGTCAGTTAGCCTATCGTGATGAATTCACTTGGAATAGAACAGAATAGTTTCCAGGGGGAACCGCGAGGAGGTCGACCTGACAGGGTGTATTGCTAGCAATTGGGCTACTGATCCCCATTATTAACAATTCCTTTTCCCCCCACTTCTTGCCGTTGTAGATAGGTGTAGGTGTGTAGGTCCCGACATAGAATGGACCACCCCTTCCTTTTCCGTGGGTGTCGTAAGAGGCGACTAAGAGAGCTTATGGTGGAGGGATGGGCGACAACGTCCCTCTTAAAACATTTGTAAAAACCTAACTGCGATAGGGGAGAAGGGATTATTAGTAATGAGGATTAGTAGCCTCATTGCTAGCAATATGCCCTATTAGGTCGACCACCACGTGGTTCCTCCTGGAATCCATCGTGAACAATTCTTGTTGAATTCGTCACGATGGGTTAACTGACCTACTTCATACTCACCAACTACACATTCTTCACTGGTGCCCCGCCGGTGTATACCGATAGCGCGGGTGGGGTTACCATTCCATTATCATCCATTTAAAAAATTCCTTCTCCCTATTTCAAGGATTAGCTAGTCATAATTGTTGACTACGTAGATACCTAAGTAGATACCTACGTAGAACCTTCTGAACACTGCAGTAGATTAAAAAGGATTGACGATTTAAAAGTGTTTGTAAACAAATGTATTTAAATAAAGATGATTTGAATTTGACTAGGTAGGGGTCTATATTTTTCCCGAAGCCGAATGACCAAAATTCATACTCACCAATCCCTCACTGACATCCTTTGAGCAATGATCGTCAATAATGCAGACGATGTTATCATTTCATCTTCATTCACAAAAAAAGTCCTTGAGCCAAAACATGTATATCTTACCAATTTCAAAACTGGTTTTGACTTCCATCCGATGTCACAACGATTGGCAAGCAATATCGGTCATTTTTAAAACAGCATCCTTATTGTAAATGTCAAAGCAAATATTTTATTCTATAGCAAATTTCCGAAGCTGTGTGGTGCCAGCATAGAACGAGCCAACGCTTCCTTTCCCGTGGGTGTCGAAAGAGACAACAAAATTTAATGGTTGAGGGCCAGACAGCAGCATCCTTCTTAAAGTATCACCGAAGCCTGATAAGAATAGCTTTTATCAACTAAAAGGGAGAGGAAAAAGATTGTTAGTAATGAGGTTTAATACCTTCTCCTCGATGGTTTCCAGGGGGGACCTCCATGGGGTTACGAGTAATAAGTTCCTTTGTTATTTTCCAAAGATACGATTATTTATTATCGATATCTATTTAAATCCAAATTATTAGGCACCCAGAAACAAGAAGGTAGTGGCTCTTATATAAGTAAGCTGGAGATTATAAGGAATATTTATTCACAATGTGTAAGTACTAGGCCTAAAGAAATCAAAAGAAGAAAATAAGAAGCTCTCTGCATATGTCTCTCTCTCTTCAAATCCTAATAAAAGAATAAGAAAGTAAGAGTAATCATCAATATGTGAGTACTGTGTAAATACCAGGCGAACAG